CCATCCTGTGTTCCTATCTTTCTTTTAAGAGTTCATCCTCTTTTTAGAGTTGTCATTGCGGAACTTTCCCTCTCTGATATGCAAGCCCAAGCAATACAGAATTTTGAAATCCCACCTTGGGAAAATACACGGATTTAGCTTCTTGAGGTTTTCAAGCATCATGTGAAGGCAAGCACTAACGAGATCATTTATAGACAACTCTTCACTGAGCACAGCCATAAATATAGCAGTTACCTTCCAGTATATACAGATGGATCCCAGTCAAAAGATCATGTCAGGATGGCATTTGTAATTGAAGATCAAATTGAGGGCAGACGCTTGCACCATGCTTTCTTTGTCTTAACATCTGAACTAACTGTAATGTATTATAGTCTTTTGGACATCTCAATTCTCGGTCACAAAAATTTATAATTTACAGACTCCTATAGTGCACTTAAATCATTAGAAGCTTTCTCCAACACTCAAAATCCAGTAATAGTGGATGTTCTCAAGATTCATATAAACTTAACGAGTCGTGGATATGAATCCTGTAATGCTGGGTTCCGGGCATGTGGGAATAAAAGGGAATTGCTGGCAGATATCACAGCAAAAATGTGCTGTTGAACTGTCTAGTCCGCCTCATCTTTTTGGAGACATCTGTTGTGTTGTAAAGAGAAGATCCTAAAAAAATGGCAGCTTTGGGTTGTTCAGCTTCAAAACAAGTTGAGAAATGTAAAGCCTAGAATTGAGCATTTTTTTTTTTTTTAAATTTATTAATAGATATTTGATTTCATCAAATTAGATCATCTCACCTTGTGTTTGGCGCATCATAATCATCTTTGGTTTTTGCGGCAAAAATCTCACTCACCCCCCATAGGTGGTGGACTGGGGGATGGATGGGTCAGGATGGGGGAAGCTGATTGAGCCAGCCTTGGCGAGAAATCAGCTGTAAAGCATAAAAAGAAGAATTTAAGAAAGATTTGATATTTTTTAATACAATTTTATCAGTATAATAAAACTTCAATTTTAGAGGACAAAATTATCTGAAAGCAACTTTCTCAAATGATATCTGAAATTAATTTGATGTAGTTGAAATTTTGAGTTGCTGTGATTAATAAAAATCATGCACTTATCCGGAAGATACTAACATAAAGAATACTAACTCATTCTGGTCAGATTTTCCACAAGCATAGCAGTTTTACTACTCAGAGTTATTTTTGTAATCATTCTTTTATCATTTAAAATCGCGTAAATTTCTTTCAAATCAATTAATTTAAACTGTGCATATTATTTACTGTTTAGGTGTTGATTATTTCTTGTAGATTTAATTTCACTGCCAGAATGAATAGCAAATGAAAAATTGGGTATAAAAGCAACTTGTGTATTATTTTGACGTTTTCTGCTATAAATATCCAGAAACACATAAATTAAATTAGCTTGAGCCTTTTCATACTCACAAAAATTTACCTGAATCAAACAAATTCTAATCCAGTTTTTTTCAATGCTTTCAATATTTTACTTTTTGTCTTTTATTACTTTTTTTTGCATTAGTTCATTCATCCTTGAAATCAATAGTTTTATTTAAAATCTATGAAAAGCTAAAGTTGCTTTTTTTACCTCTAACTTTACATTTCATATTGATGTATTTCTCTTTCATGTAATCTGCCAAGAATGTCCTGGCACATGACTGTAACGATAAAACAGCCTTGCTAGGAGTATCACGGGCTTCGACAAGAATCATGTTTCAAAGTGCATAATCAAAATTTTAGGAAGCCTGGAAAAAAATCATGAACCTAAGAATATAATCTTCATTACTGATGTATTTTGTATCGTGTTGGAAGGGAAATAAGAGCTGTACTTTAGTGCTTAGAGTAAATTTTATTTTAGAAAAATGATGTGATTTAAATAGGGAGAAGCATGGCAAAAATTTAGGAGTATAGGAACGGCAGCCCAGTATATACAGCAGTAAAATATTGCAAAATTTTATGGGCAATGAAAAAGGATATATAATTGATAGATTATAAATGGGAATGGCATTAAAAGAAACTATCCATTTGGAGTCAATGAATATTGTTACGTTTTTTTATTCTTCTGACACCAGTTGTTACGTTATTTTCTTCCTTCACGTTCGTACGGGGTTCGTAGATTTGGAGTGAATAACGACGACACTTGATGAAGGATCAAAACACACTTTATTAGTCAGTATTGTCAGGGCAGCTCCAAAACACTTTTACAGTCATTGAAGATCTACAATAAATATGCTGGAACAATCAGTGACACAGCTTTCCCACTCTCAGGCAACAACGGTGGAGACAGCTTCACTGCAAAGCACTAGAGTACAGAGACTTTCCACGCTACAACTCGCGATGTACTCGACGACACACAGAGCACGGCTCCCGTTTCTTCGGTTCAGTCATTCCTGGAGCTCAACACGCTCTCTCGACGACCCACTTGGCACTTGTTGGCTGGCTGACAATGCGGTCACCTCCGCAGGGATTGACTCACTAGACGAGACACCAACTCGATACTAACTCTCTCGCACTCTATGCGAGGCACACTCTGGATACTAACTGACTGCGGTCCAGCAGGGTTTATATAGCTTTCGGCTTGTGTTCTGGTTTGAGTTCGAGAACACAAACCTGAACCGGTTAAAGCCGGTAAGAATTACGTTCCAGAAGGCTCTCCATCACTCCGTGGCATACTGCCAAATGTCACCAAATGGGCGATTTCTCGCCAAATGTGGTAACCCTGCCTTCAACCCTAAAACTGATTTGCGGGAAAGCCATCCCACAGAGCCTGTACATTTCATAACAATATGTACAGTTCATAAATTAGAGGCTTGTAAAAATGATTGAATTTAGGATGTGTTAGGTTATTACCAATGATCTTCAAACTTTCATAGCTTGAAGAACCTTTAAAACTATGTAGCGTATTCGGAAGCTAAGTACCGTTTCATTCTAGTGCCGTCGCAGCTCTGTGGTAGGCATCCCGCACATGCGCACTAGTCTTTCTTGTTCACTGACTTTCAATTGTCGCCATTTTGGTTGCTCTATGTTGTGTTTTCAGTTTGCTGTGCACATTCAAAATGTTTAAGACAATTAGTTCTCCCGCTGACTGTGAGATTCGTGCCGTGATTAAATTTTTGAATGCGAGGAATGTTAAACCGGCCGAAATTTATCATCAAGTGACACAAGTTTACGGTGAATACACGATAAGTGATGGAATGGTGAGAAAGTGTGTAAGAATGTTAATGCAGGTCGAACAAATGTCCACGCCGAGGCTCGGAGTGGTCGGCCTTCTATTGTCACCGATGATTTGGTAAGGAAAGTTGTTGAAGCAATTCATGAGAACAGACGCTTCACAATGACAACTCTTTCAGAGGCATTTCCACAAATTTCATGTACTGTTTTGTTCAAAATTGTGTCTGACCGCTTGAATTATCACAAACTGTGTTCCTGATGGGTTCCAAAAATGCTCACTGATGTTCACAAAACAAAGCGACTTGGTAGTGCCCTGACATTTCTCACGCAGTACAGTGATGAGGAAGAAAACTTTTTAAACCAAATTGTGACAGGTGATGAAACTTGGGTGTGTCATTTCACACCAGAATGGAAACAACAATCGATGGAGTGGAGGCTCACTCATTCTCCGAAAAAACAAAAGTTCAAAGTGACAATGTCATCACAAAAAATCATGTGCACTGTCTTCTGGGATAGGAAAGGCGTTTTGCTTACTGAATTTCCTCCCAGAGGTGAAACCATTAATGCGGCACGATATTGTGACACTTAACAAAACTAAGGCGTGCCATTCAAAACAAATGAAGAGGAATGCTCAGTAAAGGAATTGTGTTGCTCCATGACAATGCTCGGCCCATACTGCTGGTGTCACTCAATCGTTAATTCGACAGTTTCATTGGGAGCAGTTCAATCACCCGACGTACAGCCCGGACTTGGCGCCGTCCGACTATCAGTTGTTCCTGCACATGAAGCGCGAGCTTGGTGGCAAGCGCTTTGGATCTGACGATGACTGGCGAGAAGTTTCTTTGACGACGGTATACAAAAACTGGTCACCCGCTATGACAAGTGTTTGATCATTGGCGGAAACTATGTTGGAAAATAGTTTAAGACATGTATTTTCATGTAAAAATAAATTGGGTTCGAAAAAATTGTTTTACTATTTTTTTTTTCCAAAACGGTACTTAGTTTCTTAATACGCCTCGTATTTTGTGGATTGAGGGGAACCCATAATTTTTTTTTAAATCTTTGGCATCCTTAGAAAAGTAATTAAAATGTATCAATGTTTCATGCATTTTATATGAAAGAATGGAAATATCGTTCTTTCGTTATGTTATAAAAACTGATTTTCTGTGTGTTATTATAGGTAACAATGAAACTGGAAGTAAAAAGTAATTAATCAATTACTTTAAATAATGCTTAATTTTGTGGTCTATATGATACTGAAATATTCTTTTGAACTTTGGTTTTGATGAGAGAAATCCCTTATATGGAATCAAGATTGTGTAGAGTACAATTTTAAGACTGCTAACCTTATACATACACATTATTTGTTCAAGTGGAGGACAATTTTTACTTCTTTTAATTGATATCAGGTATTATGTACATAAATTTGCTGTAAAAATATCATATACCTTTTGCTTGTTTGTCAGGAATGTATATAAACATTTTAGTAAATTTTATTTTTCTGAGTGATATTGCTATTTCAAAACATCATTTCTCTTCATTTAGATTGCATGTTATACTTTCACAATTATTTGATGTAAATAGTAAAATTATATACAATATAATCCTTAGTTGAAAGATGAGAGTAAAAAAGTATATCAAAAATGAATTAAAATTTCATGAATTTATTTGTATAATTTAAATAATACATAATAGTATTCAGTAAAAGATCTAAGAAAATTAAAATTTGTATTTGTTAATGTAATTTGTAATAATTAGTTGTTCATTGAATATTACTCTGCCTCTTGCTATGGATATGTCATCATATTTTCTCACCTATAGAATTAGCCAGCCGTTCACCTAGAGAAATTTCTCCAGTCCATATAATCAATATAGATGTTCAAGATAACCACGAAGAAGCTACTATTGGAGCCTTTTTAATATGTGAAATGGCAACAATGGTAATAAGTCTAATTTTGTTTATCCTCTTAAGCTGCTCTCTTGTAATATTTTAAAAAGCAATTCTTTTTAACATGTGGCTTTCTTATAATTTATGTTTTTATTTAATACTGTAGAACATCGATTATCCAAGGTAACTTGGGACTGTAACCACCTCAGATAACTGTACATGGATATAGTGAAGAGTGTGCGCAATGCCATTTTTGTGCAATTCTGGGATGTTTTTTTAAGTAAAAATAAGTCGACGTTTACATGGTTTATGTGTATGTGTTATTGTGAAAAACGCGCAAGGAGTTTCCGATTGTGCATTTTTTCCCAATTTTGCAGTGAATATTTGTCATGATTAAGCAGTTTTGTTAGATAAAATTTCTAGTATAAGTGTAATTTGGCTAGTAGATTGTTGGAAAAAGTGTTCAGTAAATAAAAAGAAAAGAAACATGTCTTTACTTCGTGAAGACAAAATGGCGGCGGAAAAAAAAAATAGAGGGTTGCTGTAGCAGAGTTGGTCGCCAAAAAATCGCCAAGTTACCATAATCCAAAGATCAACCGAGTTCACCTTAAAAAGTTTTTTACATACATCAAAAATTATAAATGTAGGGGGAACATAGATTTTGCTTCTCTTAAAAAACTTGTTATTCTGAACTGAGGAAATAAAATCAGTATAAAAGCAGGCATTGGTGACATTTGAAATTTGCATGTTACATACTGGGCAATTAAGTTTGCAACTTTTTGTAAGTAAGTACTGTGGTCACTTTAACAGAGAAATACTGGTAAATAAAATCATTAATTCATCAATCAATTCCAAATGAATTATTTCTGACACTCTTGATGTAAAATAGCACTGATTATACAGTGCAGTTAAGAAGTCCAAGTAAACTAACTTTTTAAATGATTAAATCTGTACTGAACAATGTACTTATATAAAACTCAAGATAAATGAAAGTATATAATTACATGCAAGTGGACTTCTAATGAAAACATTTTAGATTTCATATCCTCTGGTAGTGAGAGCACTAAGGTATGTCATAGCATGGTTTGGTGTATTTGATTATGGCAAAGTGCACAAGAGCTATCTGCCTATGTGGAGGGCTTTCTAACTGAAATTGGCTTGTATCCACAGTATACATAAAGAAAAACATGAAAAAACCCATATAGTCAACCTGTTTGCCGAGATTCAAGCCTGTGTCGAGTTGCCAGTGTTTGTTGACTTTACCACTTGGGCACTGGTGGATCCCATTTTGGTTAACTATTTCATTCGTGAAATCTGTGATATTATGATAGTTTTTGCTCTCATTTGGTTTATAGGTTTAATTTTCACCACCATTTTGATAATTGAAGTTCTTATCTTCATCTTAGCTCCAAAGAGCCATCTTAGAGCATTATATTATTATATGACATGTTCACTTCATTCTTATTAATACTCATTTTACTGATGCATGGGCTTTGGATAATCAAAGCAGTAACCTCTTCCTTCAAGCTTTGGAGTGCTAGGTGCTCAACATTATAATTTGGCAGCATTTGAAATGTTGACTAGTAAGTTTCCATCTTTTTGCCTTTCAAACCTTTGTATGTATTGGTCTTTCTTTTAATACTTAGGGATTTTTGATGGTAAAAAATTATCAGACAATGTAGGTTTAACATCTTAGTTATTTGTACAGTTTTCTTAATTATCATCAGATAGGTAGAACAGTATATTTATAAATAAAAACAGGAATATTTTGAATGTGAAGGGGCTTCTGGGATACTTGCAGTGAGCTTGATCCCATTCTATGCTTTCCCTTTCACTATCTGCGAACTTCACTCATCAGTTCTTCATCCCCCCCGGGCTAATATCATATTAGCTTTTCTGAGTTTGCTTCATGCTTTTCTGTTGCTAAAGTAACTCCTGCATTGTGATTTAATCAAAATATTTTCATTATTTGCACTTCTTTCACAGATGATAACACTAATCCTAGCAGTTTGTTTTATTAACACATTATATCTCTTTACAACTGTCAAGTATAAAGGGATATGAAACAAGTAAATGAAATAAAAATCAACCAAGGTTGTCACCCTAAAATCTAGAACTTACTCCAATGAAACCTAAATCCTGAGATATATTTCCTGTAGGAATCAAAATTTGACAAAAGTATTCTGTTCTGTAACTGTGGGATATGTGGGTTTGGAGTAATCTGAATGAAGTGAGGAAATGAGAAAAAGGAATTAGAAATGAGAGCAGCAGCTGTAAAATGAAAGTTGATGATCTAGTTCATATGAATAGGTGCTAAGTTTGTCCTCAGTGGTCATAACATGCATAAGTGGCAGAGTGATACAAGTGAAAAGAATGTGTAACTTCATTCTCATTATGAGATTCCAGTGCATTATTATATAGTTTGTGTTTTATGTGCCAGTCTCTAAGAGTTTTTAGCAACTTGCAACAGTAAGTTGCATGTTTCATTTGAATTTCTACACATTAACCACAATGTAAAACTTTCAACTTAAATTAAATTCCTGTTTTAGATTGCATATATGCCTTTATTTCTTATTAAATACTCTTTCTTAATAAAGCCTTGTTCTTTTTTTAGATGTCTGAATCAGAAGATTTAGACAATGACATTGATGAACTACTTCAGGAATTTGAAACTAAAGCGCAAAGACCAATTCTACATACGGTACAATTTTATTAAACTTGATAACTAAAAAAGTTATTTTTTCTAATTTAGAAGGAGCGTGATTTTTACGCTAATATCAGTGAACTATAAAAAATACATGTTCCAGTTTTTTTTTAATTGTACGTAAGTACCCTAATTTCTTATGTAATTATAAAAATTATTTCAGAAGACATTTTATGGTTGAATTCCACTTCCATGAATTTGAGGACAGCAGTTACGAATATAGCGAAAGTATATATTTTTGAGTTATTAATTTATGAACAGCTGCAAATTTTTGTTGAAGAAGTAATATTTCCCTTGTCATAATTGTTTATATATTGTCTTGAATTTCAGTGGTAACTCATAAGTGGAAATTTCAGAACGTGCTCAGTTTGTTTCTGCATTTATTTTTGTATTCATAATTTTGTGTACTATTAATAGATAATTTAAGCACAGAGGTGTGTTTGAATATTTGTTCAGGGCGGGGGACATTTTGCAGTGAGTAACATATGTAAAAGAAGTACACAAAATGTATTTCTTTTACAAATAATATGTTAATAGATATATATAATATATTAATAGATAATTTAAGAATAGAGATATGTTTAAATATTTGTTCAGGAAAATGAAGAACATTTTGCAATGAAATTATTGAATTTTTTGTCTGCTATTTTCATTGATTTTATTTCAGAATTATAGGCCAAAAAGAATGAATATTTTATCATTTAGATTCACAAATTTTAATCTGATCATATAACATTATGTCCATTTTCCAGCAGTAATGTAAAATTATTTTCTCTGTGAATGTTGCTGAAATAAAAAATGACAGTATAAATTTTTCTTATGTACTTGTTATAGAAATATGAAAACTAATGCAGCAGGTAGCTGAGGCATGTTTAATTTACCATTTCTGTTATTCTTCAGTATGAGAATTCTAACTTCATCATATTGATAAATGTGAAATTTTGGAAGCTTGATTTCATTAATTTCTTTAGTTGTAACTAATCTTATTTATTAGTTTGTAATAAAAAAAAACATAGATTGATTACAGTAAAAGTTGTTCACATAAAGATTTACTGTTATTTTAACTAACCATTGTATGAATTCTTATGTGCTGTTATTAAGATCGAAGTTCCACTTTGGACAATGCTTACTATATTTGTTATTGTATAATGGAATAGTTAATATCTGTTAGTTACCTAACAGAATTCAGCATTGATGATTCCCTAATTTATATTTGCAGACTGTCATTATAAAAATTCCTAATTTATATTTGTAGATTGTCATTGTCAATTTAGAATGCAGAGTTATTTGCAAAAGATGAAAATTGTTATTTGAAATATTATTGCTGTACTATGCGTAACAAGATTAGTGTAAAGAGAGGTTAAAAATCTACAAAATTACTATCCTGAAATTGTTCTATATTACTGAGAAACATGTTAGTATTATTAGAAGTAAAGGTATTGGAAATAAGTTAGTAATTTAACTTGATTTTAAGATTAAAATTTGAATGTATGTATGTCTTTCTTAATACTCAATATTTATATAGATAACAATCTAAGATGTGTAATTAATTATGCATTATAACATATAAATAGATTTATATTTTTATCATGATACAGTTTTCTATGTTCCACCTCATCTTCTTTTGAGGAATGTAATATATATATATATATATGCAGATGTTTCACCTAAACTGAAAATGTGTTTCTTGTGCCAATTAACAAGAATTCAGAAAGAATCTCAATATTTTGAACTGCAAGAATAATAGTGAATACATAGTGTTAATTCTACAACAGAGTAGTTTTCAAGGAACTACTTATTTTGTTTAAGATTTTGAAAATATGGAAGATCTTGTGGAAAGTTAGTTAAAATTTTAGCCATACTCACAATTCATTTAAAATTTTCATTTTAATATATTGTTATTATATGTTCTTGAAATTTTGTTAAGATCTTCCTTAAATTGTCAATGGTTACTGAGTTTATGCTAGGCACTGCTTAATGTTATCACATTTGTGCAGGACTATTCTGGCAACGTTAGTGGCTTGTAGAGTATTAGAGAACCATTTAAAGCGTCAGTTGCATATACACTGTGATAGTGCTTATTTAACTGTTATTCTTCTCACCTTTGGTATTTCAGTATTTAAAAACAGTATATAGGTTTAAAGGGCAGTTCAAATTGTTTATCTGAATAGCTGTAAATTGAGTCAAAATTTGTGTTTTCTCTTTTATTTATTTGCATAATTATATATTCTGTTTAAGGGATATTTTATTTAAGGGTCCTGAATGTTTGACCTGAGCGTAGATAGCTACAAAATTCTCTAGAAGATGCAATCTAGTGATGAAAGTTATTTAGAATGAGAAAAACATGCATGGAACTTATTTAATTTAACTAGAAACACGTATTGCAAATATTTACTTTTAGAGCGCTTTAATTAGGGGGCATTTTTTAAAAGTAGATTGTATAGAAATATTGTACAAAAGCTCTTTATGAACTTTCATAATGTTTCTGGATATTATTTGATTGATACTATACTCCTGCTCATTATAGCCATACGGCATCCCTCATCTCAGCATTAGCAGGTAGTTTCATCATCATCCTCTTCAGAAGTTTAATCACATGATGTGCTTAGATTTGTTTCTGACAATGACTGACAGATAGTTTCTTCTATCACTGATGCTGCAATTTGAGTTTTTTTCATCAATATCCATACAAGCATTAATTAATACCATTAATTAAATTTGGAGATGTTGTTTTCAGCTCTAATTTTTTCTTCGGTTCCATCATTTTTTAAGAAATTTTCATATAAAAGAATTCTTTATTATCTTTTGAGAGGTACTTTCAAGACAAGTTGAGCAAATACAGTGTATCAGGAACACTTAGTTTTCATTGTGAATTCATTTGTACTTTTATAGATATCAAGTTATGTTTTAAAAGACTCCAATACTTATTTGACAATGATAATGTTTTTCCATTGTTCTAATAATCCCTCAATCACATGCCTAAATTATAGCTGCGATATTTGCTAGTAAATATATTCAAGAGTGGCATTTATGTGCTGTGTGGTTGTCAGTGAAAAGGATGTTATTCTTCAATTTGGTATCCTATTTCAAAAACATTCATTAAAAAACTGCTAATATAATCTATGCCTCTGAATTATAGTTACAGTCCAGTGATAAATGCTTTATTTTTATTCAAACATTGAGGATTTTTTTCCCTGTATTACTATTTTTTTTTTAACCACATGTATTAACTTAGTATAAAACAGTCACACTTTTGATGTTTTAAGTCTTTTTGAAGTTTCACTCTTTTAAACAAATATGTATATATATATTGAGGCAATGTGTGACAGTATAGACTTAATTTGCCAACATTATAGAAGTTTTCAGGACAGTACTTCATAGACAGTTTAGGCCATTTATTTGTCAGCAATACTCATGCAGCAAATAAATCAGCATATTTTTCTTCTCCAAGAATGCATTTGTAAGCAATGTTTTCTCTCTTCTTCTATTACCTAAACTAGACATCTTATTGCTAAAAATCTTTTTTTCCTGTTTTTATGGCTAATTAATTAGCTTTCTCAGAGGACCACTGACTGCCATATCTTTTAATAAAAATTTGTAAACCAAATCATGAATACTTTTTCAATACTGTGGTCTTCCTCGCTGTGCATCCATTTCATGTTTGCATTCAGATTTTGCTTTGATTGATAAATAATGTCTTCTTAGTTCTTCAAATTCTTGCATAAAAGGTATTGAGAAATACTTAACAGCAACATACCTTTCATTAATTTTGGGGAGTTGATAATGACAGTTTTACAAGTTGTCTTTATCTCTTAGATTCAAATCATTATTCTGTGTGCTAGACTCCATGATAAAAATGCTTAAACAGAGTAAGAAAATTAACATTTTCTAGAACAAAATATTTATAAATATGTAAAGCTCAAAACAAGCAAAGAGATATTTTGATGCAAAAGCACAAGGTTATCTAAAATTCCACTGCATCAAAATAGTTAATTCAGTTGATCTCCCTAAAACTTGGAAAACTAGTTCCTTTGTGCATAGTTGCCTTAAAATTAGAATCAAGATACTTGACATCTTTTTCTTACTGGGTGACATGCCTCTGTTATTTATTAACTTATATGCTTTATTTCAACCTTAATTAGTGACTTTGTCTTTTATTCTGCAATATTATATTTGGTTTAAAAAATTCATTCTGTAATATTTTGATAACATTGGTACTTTACCGTTATGCACCTGTCACGCATTTTGGCATGTGTGTACTTTTCTGTTATGCACACACATACACACAGAAATGTATCACAGGTGCATAATGGGAAGGTACTGATAACTAAGTTGATCGCAAAAGTGGTGTCTTTTTCATGTTTTTATATACAAGTGGGTAGAACTGCTGCAATTTGTTAACAATATCTGAATGATAATATTAACTGCAATAGCATTAAGCAGTGCCTATTATATTTTTAAAAACTGGGAAAATTTTTGTGATTTTAAGGAAATTGCATGAAAAAACATTTTGGAATTATGTATTGAAATCATTTAAAGTGTCAGTCTGACCACTGTTATGATGTGCAAGAGGTATCACATTGTATTTTTTGATGGTTTACGGTTTTCCATAATACAACATATAAACATCAAAAAAATATTTTAAAGCAAAAGATTTTGGAATCCTTAAAAAAGAAAGTATAAAAATATATTAAAGTAGTGAAATATGAAATGGGCAGAATTTTGTGCTGAGCAATATATGCCATCATTAAATTTTCTGCTTTAATATTTTTATAGTAGAGATTTTATTTAATTAACCAGAGGATTTTCTTGTATCACAAACTCACATATTACTCTTCAAACATTATAACACTTATTACGGAGCACTTTATTTTGACTATACATATCTATATTATCTGTTCATTTAGTAACTAGTTTACAGCTGTAAAAAGAGATTTCATGAATTTAATTGTGCCTAAGAGAAAATGATGTTTAGTTTAATCAAACTGAAGACCAGTATTTTCTGTATACGTTCTGTTTTGTGGAAAGAAAAGTTATGGCATTAGTTTATTCAGTTTTTATACTATCCTTTATAATAATTATGTTTAATTTTTTGATAAAAATCCCTCTGTACATGGCACAACATGTCCCCCCCCTTTTAATCCTAAAGACATTTGTATAAATGAGTCACAGATGATTGTCAAAAATAATGCTGATGAGGAGTTAGAGTATTTATTTACATTTATATTTGTACATATGCAGTCAAAGCCTTGTTTAAGGCAATTTATTAGAATTTATAAAAATTAATTATTTTTTGTTTACTTGTTTGCTTTATAGTCATTCTTAAAAATAGAGATCATGTGTTTTTAATACA